GCCATAAGGTAAAGTTCAATAACAGGTAGAAGGGATGTCAGACCCGATGGGAGATGTCTGCTGGGAGTTCGTGGTGCATCTGTTCGAGGCCATACCAGTCCCACATAGCAGCACTCCATGACTTACCTCCCTGTTGTTGAGCAGCGACTGCTCTCTCTGGCCTCTCCACTCTATCAAGGGAGTCATGATGAGGCGATATAGGGTTGCGTCCATCTCGGCCGCCGCCACTTCTAGCGTATTGCTGTTGCTGCTCTCTATGCCTATCCTCATTCTCCCTCCGTGCCTCTAGCGCCGCTTGCGCTCGAGACACCGATGCTAGCTGAGATTGAAGAACCTTCGGATCGTTGTCGTATCTAACACGAGAGCCTCTGCCGTAGGACACTGCCGGACTACAGACCATACCTAGTGAGAGCCTCGTCCAGCCCAGGCCAGATATTGTCAACATGTGCATCTGTGAGGAACTGATCGAACTCCTTCTCGGCCGTCTCCTCAGCCTCAGCTGATAGAGTATGCCCCTTCGGGATGAGCCTATGTGTAGGTGTAGCAGCAATGACCAACAGGCAACAATACTTACGCATCACTCCAACACTGGACCACCCGCAGTAGCCTCTTCGAGGTCATGAACAGCGTCGCGCTGGCAGTGTCCCTCAGTGCCTCTTGCTGGTCCCCTGTCGTCGTCCTCTCCGCCTTGATCACAGCGAGATCCGTCAACATACTGGCGACCTTGCTAGACAGCTGTCTAACGTGCACCAACAACTGCTTCCGAATGACCATCCTATGACGGTCCCCAGTAGCAGCCAAGGCTTGGATGAGCGTACCTAGTACGAGGCAATGACCACCGATGCACGTAGGGACACTCACTCGTCTTAGCAAGGGCCTTGTCGAGCTCAGTGCTCTTCACTTGGCAGCCACAAGATGGGTTATCGTTGGCCAGGAAGGCACACAGAGCGCTGACGGAGCTGCCAGAGACAGCCCTTTGTAGATGTCGTACGTGCCTGAGGATACTCTTAGGGAGATACAGAGAGGGCAAGCAGGAATACATTCGAACGATGTCGGTAGTGGTCCTAGCCTTCTTGGGGCTAGCAGTACTCTTCTTAGCCCCGGGCTTAGTCGAACCCTCAGCTGTAGATGATGCAGCTGGCTCCTCAGCAGCAGCAGCAGCTGGAGCTGGCGTTGAGGAGGTGCGAGGAGGAGGTGGCCCATTGTTGTGATGGGCACCACTCTTTGCAGCAGACTGCGAAGGTGGTGTGAGCATAGAGACGAGGACGGTGACCAGGAAAAGGGTATGGGCAGGAGAGGATCTCAACAATGGCGATCCCAACAGTTGCATCTGAAGCATTTGCCCTGAGAGCGTGGACCCCAAACCTCCAGACCTACCACGACATTCACTGGTGCCACCAGTATCGGTTGAGATGCCCGCTTCTGTTGATGATGATGAGCAGCGGCAGCAGGAGCCCCCTCGACCTTCTCTTCACTCATAGTCGCCTTCCCTCCTTCCTTCCCACCACTCGACTTGGTCCTCTGTAGTTTCCTCACAGAGCCACTACTGCTGGCCTCTCCTCCATCTTCGACAGCCACCGACTGAGTCCGACTCAAGCGCTTCGACCTCCGTACCTCCGGGGCCTCAGCAGGGGTCATCGAACCTACCACCATCACATTCATGCACTATCAATTGATGCATACCCTCACT